ATTAACATCTTAAACCCTTTGTCAGTCACATTGTCTTTCCTATTTGATTTACAAAGTTCAGGTGCTCTAGTTAATGCACAAGAATTACTGCAATAATACTTAAATGTAGAAAAAATATTATTTGTATATGTGGGAAGCATGGTCGAGGGGCTAAGTGCATTTGAACTTGGCTTGGCTTGGCTACCTATTGATGGGGGCTCGAGGTTCTACACCCGACTTGGGCAGAGTTGTGTTTACTTAGCGCCTAAAGGCAGCACGGAAAACCCTCTCCCAGATACCTAACCCCCCCCCCCCCCCACCCCACCCTCCAACTGGTCCACAAATGAGATTGGACCATAGCACTCTGAGCATGCTATAAGCATGAAAGTAGCGCTATATAAAAGACATAATTTTTTTTTTTTCTACCAGAAAAGTACATGATCTATGTCAGTGCCCCACTGTATACTGATACTAGTGCTCAATGGGAGTCGGAGAGACATTGCCCTACCAAAGATGAGATTCTCTACAAAAGAATCATTACATACAGTGTGCCAGCCTATGAGCCTAACCCTAGTTTAGATCAGCCCATTCAGGCTTTACTTCACCTGGAATGTCCACAAAGCAACCAGTACTGCAGCTATGTTTTTCACTATGGACCTAATGGAGGTATAAATTCTTAGCTTCAAAAAATGAAGTTGATATGGACAGGGAAAGTAATATAGTCACCCATTTCTATAGAAAACAAGGATTTGTAACTGCTAAAAATAAGTTGACTTAACTATCTCTCAAACTGTGTCAGATACCTATTGTTTTGTCTGTGGCATTTTATGTCTTGAGGGATGATCTTTGTAACTTCTTGTGTGACTAAAGAGGCCAATCCTTGATACACAGCTGCAGGCACAGGTTGGGCATCAGTAACCACCACTTGCTGTTGTACTTTCACCCTTCCTTCTACTGCTGTTGTGTATGGCATCTGCAATCTGGGACCCTTCGTTTATGATCAATCTCCATATGGATCCATCCAGTGCCACTTTTTCCATTCTGTTAGTGTTGATTTTGTCTGTTGTTAATGTAAAGCTTTGGCCTGGATTTTTTTGTTTTTTTTTTCCTTGATGTAATTTGAACAATTAAAGATTTTTTTTTGTGTATTAAGAAATTATGTTCATGGTAATTACTATTCTTTTGGTGGTCTGGCCACAAATACTATGAATTAGAAATAATTTGGATTTGTATAATTAGCATGTCCATGAAGAACATCTTAAGTTAATTTAATACATTTTTTTAAAGTTAAAACTGGCAAAAGCTTCCTTTCAAATAGTTTCCTAAATCGCTTTTTGCAAAAGGTTCATTCCAAAGGAATTCCCTTTGCTGCTTTTTTTCAAAAGCTTTCTTTATAAGGACTTTTATGCTGTTTTTTTTTTTGTCATACAGGATCAAGATAATTTTTGTTTAAGGAATGTTTGACTACATTATGAAAGAGTGGGCACAAATCTTAATAATTATTTTAATTGATTTTGGCAACAGACAATACACTATTATCAATACAATCAAGCACATAATTTCAATGTGGGCTTTAAAAGTTAAGAACTGTTAGTAATTCAGAAATGTTTTATGCAATTATTTACAGGAATCATCATCGAGGACCAATCCTACAATAATAAATTTTATGACCATCAGGATATTAAACCATCAAAACTCAGATGTAAGTTGGCTACCTTCACATGCATCATTGATAGTTTGAAATCTATTATTTAAATTGTTTTTTTCTCTATTCAAGTTTGTATTTTTTTAATGACTATATTTTGTTGAGAAAAAAAAATGTTCTTGCTCTGCTTCATTCAATTAACTATTTTTTTTTAATTTTGGCTACAACTCAATTTCTTACAGTGAATCGAGATGTGTTTGAAAGTGATGCTAACATTGATACCATAAAAGCAAACCTGAAATCAAAATTGACATCTAGACAAGGTAGTGTGACTTGTTTTTACCATTTAAAAAAAAATTTTTGCCTGTAAATAAATTTGAATTATTTGTTCTTAGGACTGAAGATAAACTATTTTAACTCTTTCAATTGCAACAAAAATTATAAAATTGTTATGCTTTATTTTCTATTATTAATGCATTACTTTATCCTACAATAATATATAATAATGTTTTGGAAACAATTTAACCTGGAAATTGAGGTTTGATTGAAAGTTCATTTAGGTAGAATAAATAACATATTTCTTTGTTGTACAATCTTGATACTTATTAATACCATCTTTTTTCTAATTCCTTTTTTTAGAACAAATCTATATTGAAACACAGAGCGAATCTCAAACAGAGGGCAATCACTATATCATTCAAGATTCACAGAATTTTAATTCTCAGCACTCTGTTTTAATTCGCCATCAGGACCCCCAGACAGGAGAGAGCTCCTACCTACTTGACATGGATGCCAGCAGGGGCTTGAGCAATGGCATAAACAATGGCCAGCAATACAACATGCAACAATATTCACTTGAGAGAGTCAGTGAAAGTGACGCAGGCATAAAAATGGTGAGTGGTAAGCAGACATCCTTTCCATCCTCCCCGGACATGGAAGTGGTTGCTACAGGCTTTTCTGAAGCTGTTCCGCCCAATACAACTGTACTGATTTACACCACCAATGGAGGATATCCTGAACATGGGGAGCAGATGGTCATCCACGAGCTCTCAGAGGAAGATTCTGTTGCAAGCTCCTCTAACATAGTCACAGATGAAGGGGTTGAAGTAAGAAATTCTCCGCCTAATACAGCTCACAATGGCCAGTCAGAACAAGTTGTCCGCCGAGAATCCATTACAGAGAAAACGATAAGTAGCAAAGAGAAAACTCAGGCTACGAATGGCACCAGTGCTGACAAATCTGAAAGGAATGCGAGTCAAAGTGTCTCAGAACATGTGATTCATGACTCAGATCGGCCAGTTGTGGCCAGAGGGTCCTACAGTGCCAGTAATGTTCATACAGGCGCTTCCACCGACAAGCCAGTGACTGACAGGTTAAGTCCTGTGCACACGTCGTCTCCATCAACCATTCCCCCCCTTCGAAGGATGCTCATCCATCACCCCAGCAAACTGTCTAGTGCCTCTGCCTGGGAGGTTGGCACTGAAGAAGACCAGTCAGAGTCTTATGATCTGATTAACTATGGCTATAGTAAGAAAGAGATCCTGGTCAAGCAAGAACAGTCTCAACCTGAGTCCCAGAAAAACAACCCTGGGACAGCTTACCAGTACATTGCTAGCAAGCAGATTCATATTGTTGAAAACAGCAATAGCATTTCCAATAAAAATGTGACCAGGGAAGCAGAGGGTGGCACTAAACAAGACTCTAATGGTGGTCAGAAATTGGCCTCAATGGATTTCAATCTACAACAGGCCCTGGTAGAAAACTTGCCAACAATGAAGGTCATTGAACTGGCAGAAATCATAGAAAGAGGACTCCCTTCTACAACAGAACAGGTGGATGCTTGAAAGTATTCTAGGAACCTTTACTGGTATGAACAAACATCAACATAAAAACAAAAGAATTCACAATGTGCTGGAAACTTTTCCTTTAACATTAGTAATAAATGGGGAATTTATCAGACTCAGATATTTACAAATGATACAATTGACAAGTTATCTTTTTCTCCTTTTTTTTAATCATGGTGCAAGCTAGTTGTTGAGTACAAGTGGGAATGTTACTTGTTAAGTGCTACTGTGCAAACTTGTCATTTTATGGTACTATTTAGTATAGATGTGATATTATACATCTGAAGGATTTGTTTTTCTTACTTATGTTTTCCTGTGATGCACTCTATGGTGACCATTTTTAACTGTGAAACTATCTAAATCTAACCATGTATCAAATGTTACTTTCACATTTTTAACATTATTTTGAATGATCAATAGGAAATGAAGAATGTATATAAATATATATGTCTTATTCATATCTGTTGTGCCATTTATGTTGATGGTGTTTATAAATAATCATAGATTTTTTAAAATGCAGAAAACAAAGATTGGATAGCTGTTTCTGGTGAGAATATTTTTGTAAGTTTTGTAGTGCCTGCTTGGCACAACTTTTGCTGTGTAGCATTTTGAAAGTGGACTTTTCTGAGCTGAGCTTGGACTGTTTTAATTTTCTAGTTTGTCTTTTTCTCCACGGATTATCTTAGAATGGGAACTGTCGTTTTCTCCAAACCCATGGACTAGGACATATTTTAAGTTAAGTCTACATATATATATATATATATATATATATATATATATATATATATATATATATATATATATATGCTAAGTTTTTTCAGATTATACTTTGAACCTTGATTTGACAAAACACATCTAGTTTATAAATAAAGTTACAATTAATAGTTACAAGTGTTTACATTAACATTTTCAGATGTAAGCCACATTTTCATTTATAAAGATGGTTGTTGCTACTTGATTGATATGAATGGTATAACCTTTTCTTATTACCTTCTGTTTTGCTTGTAATTGTATATTAACTTTTACTTCAAATCTCTCTGCATGTTTATCTTCAATGCTCAATTCCAGTAAGGCTTCTTGGAATGCACATTTAATGTGCTGACTGGCCTCATTCTGCGCTGTTTCTCATCCTATGTTATTTAGAGCCTGTACAACAAATCTTGAAAGTCATGCACTGAAGAAAATATCTATGTTATGTCTCCTGGAAAACATTTTTTTTTTACATTCAGAACCTTAAACGAATAATGGAGCTGTTCTGCAAAGCACTGGTACTGTTGAAATACAATGCCTAAAATACATCTTTTAATCCTTTAAGGACCAATATTCATTTCCATACATACCTAATAGAAAGTGAATGTGCTGCTTAAAATGGGGCATTCAATGTAGGAGAATTCCTTTCACAAAATGTACTTTTTAAACTTGTATATAATACTGGCCAGATTTGTTCTGAACTATTCTGAACTTTTCAATAGTGCCTCAGATTTGTATGAGACATTAAGTTTGAAATTTTAAATAGATTTATCATTTATATATATATATATATATATATATATATATCTAGAATCAAATAAAATATATTGATATTTGGCTGTACCCAAATTTTTATCGGCCTGATTTTTCTTTATTTTTTATAGTTCTTAACCAAAATTAACATTTTTGAGGGTGAATCAACCAACTCTTGAATAACCTACACACAATGTTTGAATTGTGTGCATACATATACGCAGCTATGACACAGAGAGAAATGGCTTTGTATGATTTAGTTATGCATATCTTCTAAATGAATGCTACCTCTTTACACATGCTCATTATTGTTCATGTCTAAGTTGTTAAAGTTATACATTTTTTTGTTGAACATTGAATGTTTCAGCATTCAGTATTTGTTTTGTTTATTTCAGTGTTTTAGTTGTATAGAAGATAATACTTCACTTCCTATCCCATGCAGCTCATAGTGTTCTCACTCTCATTGGTTCATCTCAATTGATTGCAATAGAAGCTGTCTTGTTGTTACATACATATATGCTATGTGTTGATAAAATAGTTGAACATTGTTTGTGTACATAAGTTGATATACTTTTGATTTTGACAAATTAAAATTTAAACAAAATTCTTTTGATTTTGACTCTCACTCATGTTTAAATTTGTATTTTTATTTCTTAAAATATCAGGACATTGGAAAAAAAATTTTTTTCCTAGAATTCTTAACTTTGTTTATTGCATTTGGTTGTAGTTGTAACTAGATAGACCTACTGACAAAACAAAGCTTCAAATCTTAATTTTATAACTTATTTAAATGCGAATATATTTACTGTTGATTGGAATATTATACTTAAAGTCACACTACTTTAACTTTTGAATTGGCCTACTCATGATACTACTGCTGCACTGGTTTGTGTGAACTTCTTTATTTTGCATCTCTCATCTGATAAGCTGTGGGACACTGTTGAATTGGGTTTCGGGACTGGTGTCATTTTTTTTTATTGACAGTAAAACAAATGTTACATATATAAATGACTAAATTGCAGATATTGTCAAGACAGTGAATGACAAAATGAAGTATGGATATTAACATTCACCACGGAGTTCTGAGAATTTTATACGATGAGAACATCGTTCTTTAGCCTAAGGCTAAATATGGCATGTTGATGTCAATATGCAATCGTTGCCTTCTTGGATGTCTCTGTCCTGTTACAAAAAAACACCGCCACCTTTTTGGTTAAAGGCTGAGAGGAGGGGCGCGAACGGGTCTCCCTTCAATTTACTAGATCCAGTTATCGACTTGTATCCTAAGAAACGATGATCGCGAGTTCATTATCTGTGAAGATCTGCTACAATTCATTCGGCGACGATTTGCTTGGGGGGGGGGGGGGGGGGGGCTTTATATGAAACACGAGGTTAGTTGGCCTGCTTCAGTCGTAGAACGACTATGGTTCATCTCTCGCACTTCGTGACAGTGGAGCCCGATTTTGGAGAGACACTCCCGTCCACAAATATCGCAGGTTAAGGTGGCTTTTGCTTCGGTGGCAGAGGAGCTGGCCATTTTTCGTAATGTACGTTTTTCTTCCTGAGCCGAGACCCATGCACTTTCACTGTCCATAGCTTTCTTGGTCACTGTCTCTCTCCATCTGGTGCGGTCTAGAGCTATGTCTTCCCAATTGTCAGTATTAATGTTCACTGGTTGAGGTCCCGTTTTATTACATCTATGTAACACGAGGTTTAAAATATAAGTATAGCATATATTATTTAGAAATTTAGCTAAATCTTTATTTCATAAGTTCGTCACTAAGAAGATTATTGTATTTACTCATAGAAACAAAATCTATTGTATAAACATTAATCTCTATAGTCTATAGCCATAAGTCTATAGTTATAGTATAGGCCAAGTATAGTTAACCGAGTTTCCATTATTCACTGAAGGAAATTAATAATTTTACATAGACTTAGACATATGATAGATTTAGAATTCTAGATCTATTAATCTATAGATCTAGATTCTCCGTTAGATCTAACGTTTCCAACTATTCTCTTTAGATTTAGTTTAACCTTATTCTAGATCTATATAAAAATAGGTCTATATGTTCCTTTAGATTTAGGTCTAGGCTTTTCGACACTCTAAGTTTAGTCACTCTAGAACAGTGTTTCTCAAACTTTTTTGTCTGCCGGCACGGTAAAAAAAAACTACGAAAATTTCGCGGCACACCACGAAGAGCACGTTATTATAATAAAAAGAAACAAATATTTTACATTTAATGTGAAGGGTGTGCCTATTTTTGAGAGCAAATGCGATCTAATCGAGGATCCAAAGTCGACAAACAAACTCGGATTTCATAGTCTATTGTAAGAAGTCTCTTTCTTTTCCTAGACTTGATTTCAGTCAGTGCTGAAAATCCAAACTCACAAAACCATGAAGATGCAAATGGAAGAATTATTTTGATTACTTTCAAACTGATTGCAGGATATAAATTGTTGATTGAAATCCAAAACACATCCAGGCTTTTCTCGGCAAAATTTGACTTAAGAACTGCATCGTTTTTTAAATCAATGAGCTGCTCTTCTTCTTCAGTTGTAAGATTTGTAGCTTCATTGTTTCCAAATGGATAGCTGACCCATCCATACTCATTACTTCCAACTGTTGGAAAGTAATGCTGCAATGCTGACTGCAGGTGTGTCAAACTGTCCAGAATTTCGGGGGTGACTTCTTTATTTGAAGAACTTCATTGTAAGAAGGAAAGCAGTCGAAGACTCCTTTCGAGATCTTACTTTGCCACAAAAGAAAACAAAAATTCACTAAATGACTTCAGTTTTGAGGATCCAGTGATGATTGTTTCCGATGGTCCTTGAAGACTTAATTCAATTAATTTAATTTGTCAAATAAATCAGACAGAAATGTCACCTTAACCCATCAGATCTTGTCATGAATAGAAAACCCTAAGTATTTTTATTTCAGCTTCCAAGAATGAAATTAGCTCAGCCTCGAATTGGACGACCCGCTTTAACACTTTTCCCCCTGGTGAGCCAACGAACGTTGGTGTGATACAGGAGGCATTTGTAGTCTGAATCCATTGCTTCACAGAGCTGAGAGAAAAGTCGGGATGCAAGCGGTCGAGATTTGAAGTTTACAACTTCAATCACTTGATCCAGAACAGACATCAAATCTTTCGCCAAAGATTTGAAGGCAAGAGCTTCTCTGTGGATCATGCAGTGAACAACTAATACATTTAGATTTTCTTGACGCACAAGAGTGACGAATCCCTTTCTATTTCCCTGCATAGAAGGACAGCCATCGGTGCAAACGTTGACACAGTTTTTCCACTGTAGTTTGAAGAGCAAAATGTTTTCGTTCACCACTTTGAAAATATCTTCGCCTTTGGTCGTAGTTGGTAAGTCTTTGCAAAATAAGTATTCGTTGACACATTTTTTATCCTCTATGAACGAATAAAAGCTAGAAGCTAGGCTTTGCCGCTAACATCAGTGGATTCACCAACTTGAACAGAGCACAGCAGAGACACTTTATGGCCCGTCACGTCGACGTGTTCGCGTATTTGATCTTGTAAATCTGACGATAAGTCTTCAATTATGCGCGAAATAGTATCATTTGACGAAGGAACTTTTTTTCACTTTTTCGGGGATAGTTTCAACAACTATTGCTAAAGCTGCTTCGATGACTGTTTCAGCCTCTGTGTGTGCTTTCTTGCGTTTTGAAAATAACTGATCAACCTTATAACTTGCAATCAGTCCCTTTTCTGGCAGCGTTAGGTAGTTTGTAAGTTTATTAGCTTGTCTATTTTGTAGAGCCCTGATGTTTTCAAAGTATTCCTTCGGTTGCGCTTTTACAGCTGGATGTTTTGTTTCAAAGTATCTCTAATTTCAGATCAGACAGAATGGCAATGGAGAATTTTGAGGTCCCGAAGATATGAAACCATATCCGATGTAATCTCCTTTGTATCTTCATCTGGTTCCTTGCTTTTTTTTTTATCGCTTTTGCAGTTTCATTCTTGCTAACGTATTTCTCCATGGATAACAATGAATAATGCTTAGTAATAATTTGTTAAAATTAGCATACAACTAAACAATTTACAGGCAACACATCTCTAATTATTATCATTGCCAATTCAAGAACTATAGTACTATTATAATGGAAAATTCCACAATAGCTAACACCCCTTTCTGTCACTATGGAGCGATCCATAACTATTGCAAGTGGGGATGTTATCGCAACGTAAAATAAAAATTTAATAGTAGGCAGGCCTGTGTAACGCTGCATGTGTGGCGTTTTGAAACTCCCGCCGCACATCTGCAAATCCTCGGCGGCACACAGTTTGAGAAACACTGCTCTAGAATCTGGATCTGTATAGGTCTGAATCATTTTAGACTGGTCCGTATTTTTCTTTGCTATTACGTAATCAGCTATACTTAGTAACGGGTTTCTCCTTTTGGACGAATCACCAGGATCAAGAATCCCCTTCCCGTCAGTCCGTGCCATTGCTATGTAACATGGCGGATGGTTTAGATTATGCATCGCAAGGGACCCGGAGGACCGCGTCCTCCCTGGAAGAAAAAGGCAGAGAATAAAAATAAAATTGTGAAGAAAACCATATCAGTACACCATAGAAACCTTCGTTTATTCGCAACGCCTATCCTGGTCATCTTCGTACTTGTCCGCTCGTTAGCGTATCAGTTTTTCTTAGCAATTGTTCTCATAAGTCAATACAGCAGACGAGCAATACGATACAGTTGGCCACCAAAAGCCCGATGTATCGAAGCGGCACCACCAGTTATGTCAAACTATGGCAGAGCGAAGAGTCCAGTTGGTCCTGGAGAACCGGCTTTGGCAAACCAAAAGAAATATCACAGAAAAGCATTTGAATACATTTCAAAAGCGTTGAAAATAGATGAGGAAGATGGAGGTAGTCTATTATTATAATCATACTTTTTATAGTCTATATTATTATTACTATGTCTATAACTATACTATAGTCTATAGTGACTATAGTTACAAGTAGTATACTCATAAGGAAAGTATAGTCTATTATAAGTATATTATATATAATATTATATTGTTATATAGATCTAGATCTATAACTTAGAGTTAGACTTAGTTTTAATAAACTTTACTTATTATTATTAAAAACTTATTTTTATATAAATAAACTTATAAACCCTTAGAGTCTAGAGTTATGTAGAGTCTAGTCTTAGGCTTAGACTATAGAATAATAGATTCTATCTACTATCTTAGTATCTAGATCTTAGTTGAATCTATAAATACATCTAAATCTCAGAGATCTAGATTTGATAAATCTATTATTTAAATGTTAATTGTTAACCATTCTTAAAGCCCAGTAACTTAATATCCTACTTACATACACTACACATAGTCTAGACATCTATATATACTAGAGTAAACCCCCCTTTTGTATGAACATAATGAACATCTCACCGTATTTTTATCAATTCAGTGCGTCTTTATTTTGATGATTATTACAGAAATGCTGTGATGGTACAGTGCACGATTAATTTTTCTCATTTTTAACTCATTTAGTTTTGTATTCCTAGATGCAAAATTGTTTTTCTACTAGTACACTGGCATGTTTATTTGACCTCATGCACA